AAAACTAAAGAATTAAAGGATTTGCTCTTGTTAATTCCACACACACACACACACAAAATGGCTCCTTGTAAAGACACGGGACAGAAGACACGTTTGGCTCCAAGACAAGCGTTTACGTCTATGGATGCCGGGATTTGGGGAGTGAGGGAGGCAAAGACAGAAAAAAGACGAGGGCGGGGGCGAGCAAAGAGACGTGTCACACACAAGGTCACAGTGACACACAGGCATACACAATCACACAGACGCGCACAAATACAAAACAAACACGCCCATAAACACGGAAACACACACTAATAAAAGCAACACGGAAGTGTGTGTCCTTCTAAAGTCTTGTAAGGGGCATGATGGGGACTTGAAGATAGTCATTTATTTAGTTGAAGCTGGATGATGACTTCTTGAGAAAAGAAAAGAATCCTGGAATGATAGAAAAATCAAATAGAGTGGTGATATCCTTCCCTGTTGGATACATCCTCTAGCGAGTGCATTCCAAACAGATGCTGGTCCGATCCTAAACGCAGGTTTCGTTCAACCTGTGTAGTCCTACATTCGGAAAAGTCTGCCAGTTTGGCCAAAATGCAGAGGACGATCAAATAGTCCATGTCTACTGGAAGCTCACACCACGGTATCCTCAGTGGATTGTAAAAATAGCATGAATAAACTCCTTTTCTGATGGTTATGTGTTTACCGTATCAAACAGACAAAGCAAAAGTAATGATAGAAATGTTGACACTGATGAGCACCATAATAATGGTGACAAAAAGCACAAAGAAGAGGGACACATTTCAAGGTTGCGTAACATGCTTAAACCAATGAGTCAGTCCTCATTTTTCCCTCCTCTGACATCATTAAATACCACTGGACGCTTTGTCGTCTTTCCTCTGGGGAAAATAAGCGAATTAAGTCTTAAACAATAGGACGTGGAGCCTGGAGAAGGCATCCAAAAAGGGCTGGGAGAATCCATCTCAAATGTTTCGTCCTGCTAAGTACTACGTGAGATTTTTTCCCATACAGTACGGCATATACTGTACACAAATATTGCAAAGAAAAATATCGACATAGTGATTTTCTTCTTTTATAGTCTGTACAAGGGCATGAACCTTTGGTCCTGGTTGAAACATCCATTTTAGGATGGCTTTCCTTTTTTTTTTCTTTTCAAAAAAGAAATGTTTGTCACAGCACACTCTTCCTAGATGAAATACTAGACTAATCTGAAGCACACATGAACTATGCACATACTACAAACTCTGTGTGTGTGTGTGTGTGTGTGTGTGTGTGTGTGTGTGTGTGTGTGTGTGTGTGTGTGTGTGTGTGTGTGTGTGTGTTTGTGTGTATGAGTTATATGTTTTTTGTTCCCTTGCTAGATCCCACATGTACACCTGAAATCACTCCTACTGTACCATTTAGTGTTAGCATGTGTTTGTTAATTTAAAGTCTGATGCTCAAGGTGTAGCTTGGGATGGATGTTGTTTTTTTTCTCCCGGCTTGGTAAAGACAGCACAGGACTTGAAGAATTCATTAGCAGGAGCAAAACAGCACTAGCAGTAGGACACTAGCAGTGTCTCCGCGTCTCTCTTTCTTTGATGGAGAGAATTATTCACAGATGAGCGGAAAGAAAGGAAAGTCTGGAGCTGGAGAGATGATAAAGACCTGAGGAAAAAGGGGATAAGGGAGAAGAGACCGATTAAGCTAGAGAGAGACAGAAGGGGGCGAGAGAATATGTAAACAGTATGCAGTACTGTACGTTTGGAAGGAGGAGGGGGAGATGCATTACATAACCCATAACATCTAGATTAAACAGATGCTTCTGCCTTGGAGCTTCTACATCTGACAGCACCACAGCCTCCACTTTATCAGACACTCACAGCTAGGTCATGCCTTTAAAGACTCAACCACTTTTCCTGTGTAAATCTGTCTCGAGAGCATCTGCTGCACAGTACGTGGATGTACTTTAAGATTTTAGCACAGCGAGTTCTGTCCAGTTTACAAGCAGAAATCAAGGAGGCAGTGGATTTTATGTAAAATAGTGATGCAGATTCCAATAGCCTAGAAAATAAGAATACAGACTGCGTGACAGCATGCTGATAAGACTTTTAAAAATCAATATGTCAGATCTAAAACAGGAGAGGCTCACAGTTTTAATCAGAGTGAGGACTGTCCACCACGATGTTCGGCTTAGCGGAGGATTCTGGAGCAGTCTTCGACACAAATGTACCAATCGCTTTTTCCTGCAGGGAAATAGAGATTTTGCTTGTGTTAATTATTAATGGAAAATAGAAACACTTTTTATACATTCAGTTGAAGTAATTAAAATGTTAATATGATAATATATTTAATGTTGTTGTCATGCTTTGTAGTGGAGTACCACTACTATCTTTGCTACTGTACTTATTGGTGTAAAGAAGGGTAGTACAATTTCTCAACTCCTGTACCTCAAGGAGTAGTTCGACATTTTTAGGAAATTTGCTTATTCTTCTTCTTGCCAAAAGTAAGATTATAAGATTAATACCACTGTATGGTAAATATGAAGCTACCGCCAGCAGCCAGTTGGCTTAGCTTAGCACAAAGACAGGCATAACAACGAGGGTAAACAGCTATATCCCAGCTCCATTCAAAGATAACTAAATTCTCCTCTGAAGCACCTCTGAATGTGATATCATTAACATTTTATATCTCGGTTGATTAATCCACCTAATCAAAGTGTACAAAAAAGAAATCCTTTCAATAATTTCCTTAGGAATGTCAAACACCAGCACTTCTTTGTATGTTGGGTTCCTCTTGCTCTTCTTAATGGTGTGTTGTGTGTATTTCAAATTACTCTACAATGTTTCAGAGGATAGAATTGTAGTTAACTATTATTAGTAATTTCTTTATTTTGATTAATGTTTGGCATTCAAAACATGTTAAAATTGTATTAATTTATACTAATTACCCAACAAGATGTAAAGTAATTTCTGCTTATTGCAAATAGTTTATTTAGAAATGTCACAGCTAAATATGTTATTGTGTATGCAACACTTTTACTTGCTGAATAATTTTACCTTTTAGAACTTCTTAAAAAAACACCTGAATAATTATGTTATCACTCACTGCTGCTTTAATGTTAAAGTACCATTACTTCTATACTATTATCACAACTTTTGCTATTCTAAAAGGCAGCATACTGCAGATACCACTACTTGTAATGAATATAATAATCATCATATCATAAAATCAATGTGGTTTTTCAGAACCAACCAAAGGACTGAACATAATGTGGTATGAGATCATGACACATGAATGCACACACATAGTCACTGTCACACGAACACACATGCTCATATGGTCATTACCTCCACAAGCTGATACCAATTTTCTATTGGTTTGCGTGGATTGGCCAGCATGGCTGTCCAGTGCTCCCTTCCTGGTCCTTCAGCCTCGCTGCCGACACGACACATCCCTATAACCTCGTTATGACCAATACTAACATGAAGCAAGGGATGGAAGCAAAGACAAGAGAGACAGAGAGACAGAGAGGGAGAGAAAGGGCTTGTAAGAAACAGGCAGGCAGAGTCTAATCTATCAACCCTGAGTACTAGGAAAAGAATACAGTGGCTGTGGAGGGATATTGAACAGCATCTTGCAAATACATACAGCCTTGCATAAAAGCTTGATGAGAGCGGGGAAGCAGGCCCGAGCACAAACATACAAAAGCATACACCTATGGAGATGCCAAATGGAGGCCAGTATACATAATAGATAGGCAAGTATCTATTCACAAACACATCAACCAGCTGAATGTTGATGCAAGCGTCAGACAGACAAACGCTGGCAGGGTTACACTTCTTCCTTCACCATTAGCATAAATCATGCTTATTCATGAGGTGCCCGACTATGTAAAACAGGGAACGTCCACCAGGAGGCTGATTCATGAGAGGGCTCTCATCATGTTCAACACAGCCGCAACACCATCAAAATGTTACGACCCAAAAGCAACAGCAAACACCACACTGCCAGCGCAAACACACATTCAATAAGCAGCACACTTCACAGTAATGATCAGTTTCATGTCAAAGCACCCCAAACACGCTGCAATGTAATAACACTTGCTCACCAGTCATAGTCCATCACCGCAATGATGATGGAAACACTTTCTATATTTTCATTGGGAATGTCAAACACCAGCGCTTCGTTGTATGTGGGGTTCAGTGTGTTCTTCTTAATGGAAGTCTTCCTCTTTTTTAGCCTTCGCCCGTCACAGATCAAAGAGGCCTTCACATACGGATCTGAACGAGAGAGAGGAGGGAGGAAGCCAAGAAAGATGAAAGTGACGGGGTAAAAGGAGAGATAGAAAGCAAGTCGTGAGGGGGGGAAAACAAGTAATGAAGAGAAGGAAAGGAGATGAGAAACGACCGTGAGGAATAAAATAAATAAGTGGGGGCTCCTCCAAATGTTGTTAGGTATTATGCTCACAGGTATCCTGCTTTAACACATAAAAGGCATGAAAATCAAGTCACCTTGGCAAAGCTGGATTAAAAACACAAAGGGAGAAAAGCAGCACAGGTTGAATCACTTCCATTATCCATTCAACATGTGCAGCTCGGAGACAGCAGCCAGGGAAAACACACACACGCCCACGACTCCATCTTTATACTGCATTTTATGTATCTTTAAGGCACTGCAATTACCCTGGGATCACTGTGACAATAATTACGGCATGCGGTCATTATCATTTCAGATTTTATTTAATCTAAGAGGGCGTACGCAATATTAAGGTCTTTAAGTGATTAAAAACTAAAGAATTAAAGGATTTGCTCTTGTTAATTCCATATTAGTGATCATATTATCACATCAGTTTCACAGGTGAAACTCTTCTTTATCCACACATAATTACTGCAACACCTGCAGCTAATTCTGCTTGCAACAAAATACATTTAAACAATGTTTTACTGTGTTATTGTGTTAGTGGATAATAAACTAAAGGCTTCAGCTAATGTATTGATAATGTATGGATCTATCTTTAGAAAATCTAACCTAAGATTATTTTAACTGCACTTCAGAAATGATTTACAGGGGTTAATTAATCAAAAAAGTACTTTTCTGCATCTTCTTGTACTTCAGTAAGTGGTAAATAAAAATGTATTTGGTTTAAACTTTTTTGCACAGATGTGTTGATTTGTATCTGCCGGGAGAGGAAACTGATATAATGTTTAAAATCAGTTAAAATGCTAACTGTATTGCATTCTGGTCAATTGAGGCTACTGATGGGGAAAACACAGCTTCTTCATTTGGTGTAAAACGGCATCAAAAGGAACGCTATTATTTAAAGAAACTAGATCCATGTTTACTTGTGATCTTAACATGAAAAAGTATCCCAACTGCATGTTAGTGTGTGTATATATTTGTAATCCTTTACCTGAGAAGCCAGTGAGGTCCATGGCTTTGAGGTTGGTGGCCTTGATGACTGTAGCAGTGAGCCTGCCTGCAGTGGGCAGGTAACACAGCGAGAAATTGAGCTCCCCGAGATCAGCCTTCTCCTGCAGGTCACCACACACATATAGAGATCAGAAACTGAGCTGGCACAAAGTGAGCAAACACACACACGCACACACACTTGGCATCAGAGACAGAGTCAGATAGGAAGAACATCAACGCACAGATATCCTTTGGTGTGCTATGATTGTCTGTTGCCAGAAAAGAGCTACATCTGTGACGGATGGCGCTGACGGCAGGAATCCTAATGCGGAGAGGCAGAGTGTTTAGGCAGAGGGGAAGTGCCGTCACTGTAAATGAATCATATGCCAATCTGTCTATGTCCCCGAGTGGAGGAAAGTGTTAAGTAAGTAGAGATGGCGATTCCTCAGGCTTTTTATAAACCCCCCCATCACTACTGATGTTCTCGGTGCCTGTGGTCTCAGTGGCACCACAGTAATGACACCAATGGTATTCAGGTCACACTGTGGCATGATGACTCCTTAGTGGCTTTGTGCCTCACTAATCAATACTTCCCCGGGTGAAACACTGAAATGCGCTAAGAGGCTGATGCTTTAAACTTATTTAATAAATGAAACCTTCATGCCAACAAACTGTACGACTTCTAATTTGCTAATAGCTTTCTATGAATATTTCATATAAATCTACTTGGACGCAGCACTGTGTGATAAAAAGTTTGGATATGGCCAGCGGTGCCTTTCCAGTAATCCATCTGGACTCTCCTGAGCTGTGTTATTACCAGACTCCGAATGAATATACTGCAGACAATTTCCAGTCTACACCATTCCTGTGCATTCTCTATATAGAGTACATAAACGTCAGACAACACACAATAATGCACACTAGAAACAATAAGATACTGGAAACGTTTTCACCCAAAAACACCTTGAATATTTATACCCTTGAATTGATGGGCACTGCAATGTTATATTTCTCAAAACTTTTATCAGAATTTCCAGAAGGTCATTTCAAGTTCTGCTATTTAACATAAGAAATTCCACTCAAGGTTTCTCAATTGCTCGTCTGAATAAATGTTTCTTGTGACTGACAAAACAAAACCTCAGGACAGAGGCAACCTGATAATTCAAACTTGACTGTATTGAAGAAGACCAGCTGTATTTTAGAAGCTTGCATACAGCAATACGTGAATAAAGCAAATACTTTAAACTGTGTTTTCCATTTTAATAAACATTAAGAAGGATGGTTTTAAAATTAAAGTCTGACAATACTTAACATGATGTGGTGCTTTCCTTTGAACATACAGTATTTAGTGGTTGCATTTCAAAGTTATTCATTGACTGCTGATGCAGAATTAAACTTTGACCTTTCTTCTTCCATAGAGTCACTATGGCTATGATATCATGAAGTGAAAAAACAGTATGAGACATAGCAGAACAGACATCTTGTAAGCATGCCGTATAGTATATCTGTACATTCAATATAACACACTATATTCAGCTGTTAATATGCTGTAAGGCACACTATAACAGCAGCACATCCACATATTCGTTTTGTAATGTACTCATATGTTCACAAATCTTATTGTGTAAAAAAATACATTGGACAATTGTATTTCTTATTTATTAGTCACTTTCTCTTTCCTCTTTGGTATTCACATTTTATTTCCAACCATGAATCCATGTATTTGTCCTGAAACTAGAGGATCAAGTTTGATATGCTCCATTATCTCTATCTAACAGTGTTTAGGCCCCTCATTTTCAGTGGCTGGACATCGCTACAAGGCTCATTTTAATTAAAATCTAATCTTATCTAAAATCTTCCCAAAATGAAAGTTATTGTTTTGCGTTTGATGCAGAGCTTTGTTCTTACCGCTGTGCCCTCCACAATGTCCCTCCAGACGGGTTTGTCCCCGCTGCCCTCGCTGAAGTCCAGCAGGTTGTCCACCACTACCTGGCCAATCAGGTCATGTCTGGAGAAGCGGTCGAAGTCGTACACAGAGAAATGCAGCTTCCTGGAATGTAGCTCACTCAGCGGAACGCCAAACTGAAAGGTCTCATTGAACACCGGGTTCAAGGTCTTTCTGTGGACCTGCGAGACGGACAAGGACAGAGAGAGAGAATTGAAACTCTACACATCAAAACTACAAATAACAATCATTATTTAGAACCTATAGTGTACCAATGGGTAGGTAAAATGGAATGAGCACAAGGAATGATAGGGAAACATGTTTTTTTAACCCTTAGATGCACGAGTGACTCGAAGTGGGTCAAAAAGGACCCGTAATAGAATATGTGTTTTTATGCCATTTTTGTCATTTTGGTTTAGAAAAATCACTTTTATAATATTTAGTATTATATTTTGGTTCACACTAGAAATATTTTATATTTAATTTTTCACTATTTATAATTTTAGACATTTCTTTTACATTTTGAAAAAAAAACATTTTCCCATAGGATTCCATAGATGCATGCGGGTCATTTTTGACCCACTTATGGAAGCTTGGGGTATTAATACAAAAACTACAATTTCTTGAAATCTAAATTAAAAATGTGTATGGCATGATATACAAAACATTTTTTTGAGGAATAGCTGGAATATGAAATGATAAAAAAATTTTTTTAATTACAATGATACTTCAAGAAAACCACCTCACCGGGTCAAAAAAGACCCACTTATGCATCTAAGGGTTAACAACACTACAATTACAGCAGAAAGGCGGTTAACATTGGACTTGCACTGTAATAAGGGTTGCTCTTACACAAAATGTCAATGCTTGTTTTAGTGCTACCAGGAATAACCATTAACGCTGCTTGAATTAGTCACGTATAAAAAACTTGGATAAAACAAAATAAATGTTTTAAATGTATAATTATTCAATTTCAGTATTCTTGCACTAAATATAGTTTAATTAAAGGTTTGTGAGTCAAAGCGTATTAAAATATCAACACCATTTCCCAGATTTCCTCATTTCCTTGTTACATCAGACCTCCTGTTTTCTTTGATTAAATGGAAATACTTGTATAAGTACACAGTATCTTATTTCCTGGTTGGTAAAGTACACTTTCACATTGTGACTTGATGTCTAGCACTTAGCAGAGTTCGCCTTCTGGCTTTTATCTGTGACTCGAATAAGTATCAATGCAAAACTCTTATATTTAGAAAAATAATCTTATCTTAGGGGCTCAGAACTTATGGTAAATACATTTTCTCTGAAAGCAGTAATGGACAAAATCCTCATATTCGTTTGATAACATCTTTGGCACTGCACTCCCATTGGTGTTTTATTGTACTGAATATTTTCCTTAGAAAACATAAAAGGCATCAATTTCTATGAATCGAAGGGGTTCTTATCCTCACATAGGAGAGTTGTTGTGAATGTAAAAGCTTTGATTAACAGTCTGTAGGATGAATGTGCTGAAAGCAGCAAAACAGACATTATGGCACGCAAATGTCATTTTAAATTAATCTGCCTTTCCACAGAAACAGGAACTTTCAGGGCACAGAATATTCCAGAGGGGTTTGGTTTGCCATAATAAAATGACCTCCAGCAACACAATTAACCTCTACCACACTGCCTGACCTCGTTGCTCAGCTAGTGGGATGAAAGTGAATTTGTTCTTTTTTTGTGGGATGGAGAATCAAATCAAACTTACTGAAATGATATAAAAGACCTAAAACCAAATGTAAAACTCAACATTCTGTTTCCCAACACGTACAACATAGCCAGATGTCTTCCTCTTGGATGTGTCCAAAGATTTTATATTGGTAACTGTATTCATTCCAAGTTCACCTCTATTTTGAAGTTTTAATGTGTTCCTTCTCTTTTCTATCTGTCACATCAATATCAAGTAAAAATAAACAGATGGTTTAAACCGGAGGACTAAGTCGGATGGAAAGCGAGCTGCTGTCATTTCCTGCTCGTCATATTTAAACACATTGCAGAAACATTCAAATGTGTCTTCAATCATTTAATCTTCAACGTTTTTTCTTTACTATTTGCTGATTTAGTGGTGGGATGTATTTGCAAAGAAAGCCTTTGATGTAGATGCTGTCATGCAATAAAGCTGGTGATAATTTAAATGACACACACTCGATTTTCCAAATCTAACTTTTGTCACTGCATGACTGGGTCTGTCACTCCGGCTTATTAGCACTTGATGATTACTTGTTAGCTTTGGAATAAACACGCAGCTGATGGAGAAGCAGTGCCTTTAGAAACCAGAAACACAAAGCTTTAACAGCTACAGAAAAGAGGTCTGTTTCTCTTTTGAAATTAGCTGGAGGGATAAAAGCAGGGAAAATACGAGTGGTCTGAAAATTCCACATGATTGAAATGAAACAATAATCTACACTCTAAACAAAAGCAGGGCGTTATTATGCAAATTACAGAAGCATTCACTCTTTTCAACGACTGAATCGGCTTTTGTAACATACAGGAGACAGTCGCACAAAGGGGGAAACCAAAAGGGAGACATTTCAAACGGGTACAGCTTCATTGTGACTGAAAGCTTACTTTTCACTCTTTCCTGGATCTACTGTCAATTGTGAAGGTTTTTGAATTTTTATCTTCAGAACGTTTCCCTGTTTCACCCATACGCTGTACAAAAGCACTGGTATAATATTTATGGTTATAAAATCGAGAACTAAAACTGTCCACATTTGTGAGGGTTCAAAGTTAGTGACTTTTGATCTTCCCTACAGAGAATAAATTAGAAGAGCGGATGATATTTAAGGGCAACGGGTACAGAACATCCCGAAATGTACTCGATATTGACTCTAGGGAGCCCAATACCAGAATAACACAGGGGTTGAGTAGCAGTGCCTTGTAATAGTCTGAGGCACATTATCTTGAATACATTTAGCTCCAGGTTATATTATATTACATTAGTGAAGCTGTAATGATTCCCCATGAGGAGGCTAGGTCATCAGAGCAGCAGGAAACAGGCGGAGAGAAAACAGCCAGTCAGACGTGATGATGTTTAAATGTTGAGGAGGTTTTCTCTTTGTTTGTTTACACTAAGCAAACGAGTGAGTGTGGTGGAAGTGGGATTCACCTTGGTCTGGTATTTCTTCTTCCTGTCTGGCAGTAGGTAGATCTTTACATATGGGTCAGAGAAGCCGTTGGCATCCTTTGCTGGCAGGTCCAGAGCTTTCAGGATCTTCACCACCAACTGCTCCGTACTGAGACAAACACAGAAAAGTCCTTTAAACTTTCACATTCCATTAAAAGAAAAAAGGCAGGGGTCGCTCACATTTACACAAATAATCTATGAGAGCCAGACAGGATCAACCCACACACACACAAGCACACACCTTTTCTACACATAACGGTGTGGGAGGTTTTCGTGTCTCTGAAGTTAAGAAAAAACAAAATAGCATGTAAGTGAGTTTGTGTGTCATTCCTGAAGCTGTATTATGTTGCAGCGATTAAAGTAAGCAAAGACGTACAACGAGTGACAGAGAGTCTGCTTGCCAAGGCGAAGCTCATTAAAAAACCTTAACACAGTTCCCTTTATTCTACCCTCACTATGGTCCATGCCAGTGCCTTCCACTATCAAAGTATTATTTGTCTGTATTACCATTCTTTTTGCTTTATTGTTCTCTATCAGGTTGCATAATGTGTGAAAACATAGTCAATGTTTATTTCACTATGTTTTAACTTAAGGTTTTTTTCTATTTTATGCAGTTTGTATTTTACTTATGTTCTTTGTCATTTTTGTTATCATATTTTTTGCATGGGTGTTCCTTTCTCAATTTTATTTATGTATAGCACACTGGATTTCCCCTGTGGACAAAATGTGCCATGGAAATAAACTTGCTCGACTTTAAATCAGTACTGCAGTGGTTGTATAAAGAAGCCGTCAGAAAATACTGCTACACATTTTTATATTTGTCAAATACAAATGAAAATGTAACAGAAATAATCTGTAACCTGTTATATTAGGATACAAGTAGAAGTGGCTCTGTTTATTAAATGATATATACTGTATATATATATATTATATTTGAAATTGATTTCATGAACATACTGTCAAAATTATATTAATTAGTTTTTATCCTTAATTATTTGAAAAATCATCGGTTAATCCAGCTGTAAACAATAGTCAACCCTTAAAATTAGTTTGTTAAATAATAATGATATTAATTTATTAAAGAACAGGAACTGGCATTAGCAGATTGTTTTGCATTTCGCCTAATGTATGACTCAAACAATGAATCAATTATCAAGATGTGCTGCATTATTGTTTGCCAACTAAATAAACTCAAAAATAATCAATTAATGTTGTCAGCTCTACAGTAATGATGTCGTCTTTGTAGATACTAATAACGTGAGATTTTCTGAATGAGGGAGAAAATGACATGAAAGTTAGCGCATTTAGACAATCAGCAGAATTGCTCCTACAATTGCATAATTGGTTCTCTAATCAACACTAATCAGATACTCTCATAGAACAACTCTCACACACATGTTTCACTATTTCTGTATTTCTTTGTCACAAACACCAATATGAATAAACGCACAGTCGTAAGCGCACACAATACACATGTGTTTACATTCGGTTGCTCCATCCAGAGTCATGGCTGCGTCTCATGCACCGTTTATTATGTATTTAATTACCAGATGAAGATGAGCACAGCTCGGAGGCCTTTAATCAGACCTCGTTAGGCTGTGTCTCCCCTTGTTAACCAGTGTGTCAGCACTTCATTAGCTGCTTAAGGAGAGCAGCGTGAACTTTGAGGCTGAGGAAACGCCAGCAGTGACCCCGGGAGTTACAACGTCTTATGTCCGTGTGTACCAATCACAAGTAAGACATGCTTGTTGACAATACAACCGTGGCCCATCTGGACACGTGTTTACCTCTGAATCACATCCAATTAAGGCAATCGGATAAATATGCCCACTCTGCTATCACATCAAATCAGGGAGATGATGTTAGTGGAGGAAATTACATTTACAGCTCAGCCAGATAAATATTTTAACGAGGAAAAACCTGTAATACTCCCCTCTAACGATGTTTATTCCAGTATTATTTTTGGATACGTGTTGGTGGCAGACACACCGTGATTAGCCAGTGCGGTTCACAGCGATGCTCAAATGAACAATAATTGGAAACGACAGGAACACACCTCATCATTTTCCCTGCATTGGTTGTTTGCTACAGAAACGCGGTCACAAATTCAAATGTCTTTTTACAGAACGAGATGTGAGCTTGGAACCCAAATTAAGGTTTTTAAACAAGCGTGAAGTACAGTAGAGAATATACCTATTACTGCTCGAGCACAGAGGTAAATTCACGACCTTATTCCTGGCAGACAATGCCCGAAGGCTAGCTGTATTTCCCACAGTGGAAATGTGTCAGCTTTTAATGGGATTGTCAATAGAAATGCCTTTCCCCGAGGATCTGAGAGAGATTGACATTGTTATTCTGACTGTTACACTCCAAACAGCTGGGTCTCACACATTAACAGACCGATCTTATCACAGTTCCAGTGTGTGTGTATACAGACATGGCCACACACTAAATCTCTAACCTTTCTTCTTTACTCCCTCTCTTCTGCTTCCCTAACTATAACAATTTGCCTACTATGTAATGACAGGCAACTAAAGCCAGACATGCATAAATGGAGAAAAAGGGACACATGAATATTTTTCATCATTAACCTCACTGTCCATCCAATTTCCTTGCTAATTCTCTATATCTGTAACTCAAGTTAAAACACAGTCTGGTGTTATTATTTGTTGACAGGGGCTGCCGTTTAAAGTGGCTTGCCATATATAATTCATGACTGGAACGGCATCTCGCTCCTTTTCTTTTCTGACCATCAGCATTTTCGCTTGTTGTAATGTTTCTACATGTCAGGGCAGGCAGAAATGGGGGAACTGCCAGCTGGGCTGCAGACAGAGCGAGCGAGCGAGATACACACTCCTCCCAACAACCCACATCCACCTAGGACTGCAGTACAGCCTCACATTCGTACACACTCTCCCATTACCCAGTCCTCACAGCATGGCATCCACCAATTACATACTCAGACCCAAATTCTGCAGTATAGAAGGTTCAAGGAAGAATCCTCAAAGGAGCTAAATAAATAGAACCAAAGTGTGTGCCGCGCAGCACATAAAGACACTGAAGCTGCTTTGTCACTTACATTTAATAGTACCATTTTAAATTTGTTGTATATTATTATTTTAGTATGATTATCGTAAACAAGGGTTTGGCATATTTAAAGCCAATGCAGTAGCATTTCATTGGTTTGGCTTCTTGATAGCTTATCTACCTGTAGGAGTCTTGCTTTTCTACATGTGTTTGTTCATGGTTAAAGTCACTTTGGATAAAAACGTCAGCTAAATTAAATGTAATATAATGTGAAAACAAAGGAGACCACGGAATGAATCTAGAGGTGCTTACTTCCAAAAAAAACTAATTTGCTCAAACTTAATTCCCCCTTGAGTTGGAGGCTTTGTTTACATGTCTACTGAAGAGAACAAACACAGCTAAATATATTTTCCAAAGAAGCACCCTCTCTCTGTTCTGTGCCATGATGGAAATTTGGCCAACCAGTGTCTATTTGCACCCTTCTTAGTGTTTGAAGAACTGAACACCCACTGCTATGATCAAAGTGGTGCAAAAACAGACGCAGCTACATTGAGAGGAGACGGGCCAAACCGGCGCTGTGGCACTCAGACAGTGCTGGATTCATCAAACAATATTCAGTTCGTATTTTTAAGGATTACATTTCCCAGACTGTGCCTGGCTATCACAAGCATACAAAGAATGCAGAGTTGATGTTGTCATTTCTTTATTTAGCTATCTATCGAGTTAGCGCCATGCATAGGAATGTTGTTCAGTCATTTTACCTCTTTGGTCCAGACCTAAACTAAAGAAAAACATAACTGGTTTGCCATGGAATGTTTGAATAAAGTTGTACCTTGTTAGGTGATAAAAAAGACATGGAAAATAATTGTGTTTTGCAATGCTTCGATCAAAGCAGGAGGTGTTCCTGTTTTCCAGACAGCAAGTCGATTGGGCTCCCCATGGACACTGGTGCAGCATCTTCAAGCTAACCTGGTTGTGATGTAACCTCGATGTTTAGGTTTGAATATAATTGTCCATGTTAAAAGCCTACATGTTTCACATAAGAGGACATTGAAAGATCATTTAGCCTGTTTTGATGTAAGCTTGGTGACTTACTTGAAGGCGTAACGCAGGAGGAAGCTGATTTTGCCGCAGTTGTCGCCCGGTTTGCCGTCCCCCAGGTCGCCCTTGGGCCTATAGAGCTCCGGTTTGATCTGCCCAATGCTGGTTACCTGCTCCTTCTCCTCGCCATGGAAATCAGGGCTGGAGAGCTGGTGAGTCATGGGCTTAGGCCTAAACAGACACATAAGAGGATGAATATTAAGTGAAGAGCCCAGCGCGCACACACACTAAAAACGATGCTTTCAAATAGTATGATTCAGTAACTGGATGGGAGATGCAGTGGCATTTGAACCAACTCAAGTGAGTATAACAACTATCCGCATAGGCACACCTTTTTTACACATTCATAGAGGTGTTATAAAATCAAGTCTAGTTGTGTGATGATGGTTCATTGTATCAGTTAGAAATGGGGAATGTTCTACCAGAGTCCTTTCTGTTTTTGTAGAAATGATACCTGTAACTGTGCTTAGTAAATAACTGTTAATATCACCATCACTTTTTACAAAAAGACAGATGTTGTTCAAGATGAAACTATATATGTTAGAAAACCCTTTAAAAGCATTAATTAGAAGGAAGCAATATAGTCTTTTTCAGTCTACTCACAAATCAGCTTTTAAGCAGGTACTGTTTTCCTTTTCTTGATTTTGATTTTAGGAGTTTCCTTTGAGCAACAACTACTGTTACAAATGCACAATATGCACACACTCTTTTAAGGTGCAATGTGTGAGGGATAGACAGAGTTTTTAGTTTACAATAGGCTTATATTAACATAATGTGAATAACTAACAGTTTTGACATAATTGCAAGACTGTGTAAGGTGTTGCAGAGATAACAAAATGAGCATGCTTATCAGCTAGCCCTGGACGTCCTGTCTTAGAATACCACTTGTACCTAAGGAGGTAATAGTGAGTCACGGTGAAGTCTAGTCTGTCCTCAGTCCAAAAAGAGAGAAAAGAACGATTAGAGCTGCTGAGTCAATCAGGTTGAAGGTAAAGCCCCCGGTTAAATTACGCAAAGACGGCTCATACTCTTGGCAAATGACCTTTATCACAATCCTAACGACCTGCTCTCGGCAAGAAACCACAATTTATGGTCAAGATAATAAGTGATATCAAAAGAAGCGACACAAGGGTAAACATTAGCATGGCTCTCCACCGTTGGACAGCTCCGGGAAAGTGAAGAGATGAGGTGTGTTTCATTTAGACTGGGAAGTAACATCCAATGTTGGCTCATAGATCAATATATCTTTTGTGCAACTAATGACAAACCAAACCGTACCAGAATAAACATTACTAAAGACATTGATGTTTGTATGGTCTCTCTATGGCTACAACTGACCTGGGCAAACTATGCTATACATTATAAGCCTGGCAAACGTTGAGATTGTACGATGACACATTGCACCTTTTAACCCAAACACTCGGTACTGACCGGGAGGTGACCTGCTGCTGGGAATGGGCGTTCGGCAGGTCTTTATGGGGCTGGGCTCCAACCTCTGAGTTAGGGACGTCTGGAGACGTCTGACTCAGCTTCAGAGTTCCTGCAGAGTGAGAAATGGACAAACATGTCTCGATGACTCACTTCTCTCTGTTATTAGTGCCTTAGTCATTACAGTGGCTTAGAGCAATGTCTTTTTTTCGAATGCAGTGTCGGCATCATCGATAGCATTGATTGTCTTACATTGATTTAACTGAGAGTTTTTTAACAGCAGACAGAAGAGAAATAATTAACAGACGTTAACAACAGCATTAAGAGGCATAACAAACAGATATGAAAGAAGGCACATCTAAGTACCATTTTGGCATCCAGAAAGCATTTGACGATTACTGATTAATGATACTGATGAATCAGTCTGTGAAAATTGCCCCGCTATTATACCGTTTTTGGGAAGGATCTCCTAAAGCTACGTTAATCAGTATCTTTGTGTGTAATCTTGTTAAGGCTGCAACTAATGCTTATTTGAATTTCAAACGTTTGTCTACAAAACATCAGGAGAAAGTGAGCAACACCAGTTAATGCATATTAAATAATGAATTTGATTATAAAAAATGTAATCAAATAATTATCTGTCAATCAAGTAATTGATTAACCGACTACTTGTTGCAGCTCAACAGAAGAACACATCAACATTCTATGTGTGGTGTGAAAGGGTTGCTGGAAGTAAAGGAAAAACACATCATTATTGGCCAATTCGTACGCTTCAGCGAGTTTCACTGCACACATGAGGTTTGAGTTCAGCCGTTTCTTGCAACGAGCTCTGATAAAACTAGCTAGGAAAGAAAGTTGAACATACAGCAGCTAAAGAGGGATTCTTTCTCAGTGGTTGAATAGAACAAAACAGAGTTAAAGGAAAGTGAATTAATGAGTTGACCAGCATCATGAATCAAATGGCATGTTAGCAATGGGAACCTTAAAGCTGATTAGATCGCTCGGCACATTTCTTTGTTTAATAAACAAAAAATTCTTTAATGAAAATGTGTTTTATATAAGTGAAACTTCCCCTTAAAGTCACAGTCTACCTTTTTCTTAATGAGTTTATTTTATAACCAAGTATTTGTAGTAACAGACCCGGCAAGTAACATGAAAAAGTATTATTCCTTAACTGTAGCACTGCTATGAGAACAGTCATTTATTTATATGAAAATGGCCATTCATCACCCAGTTAAATGAGTTTTACTGTATGCAGGTAAAAGTATTAAATTCAGTAACCTGAGAGTATATTAAAATAAAAAGTTATTGAGCGTGGAATTACATTACTCATTCTGACTGGGATTAAGAGTGTCTCCCTCTCACCTGCATTGTTGGGGTAGGAATCCATGTCCAGATAGGACGGCTCCTGGGTGTCCTGTGGCCCCCCCACCACACCACCGACCTCCCCCCTCTCCACTCCCACCAGGTCAGAGAAATGGGGGTGGTGCTGACCCTGCTGGCCCAGGGAGGGGTAGAGTGAGGAGGAGGAGTGACCCTCCTTCCTCTGCAGCAGGGGGGGTAAGAGTGAGGAGCCCCCGGGGCCTCCAAGGCTCCCGACACCTGCACTTCCGGGCAGCAGCCCCGACGTCAGGCTCAGGCCTCCGCCCTCCTTGTCCCTCCATGGGAGCCAGCAGAGCTTCCAGGAGACGAAGAGCGAGACGGAGAGGAGGACGATGCCACAGAATGTCACAATGACCGACAGCAGGCTGACAGAGATCTCTACAGAGGATAACTTCATTATTAAAGTGTGTATTTACACAAAAAGAAAAAAGAACATTTCAAAAAAGTGTGGGGAAAATGCAGTCCACTGTAGACTGTAGGCTACTTAGGCACAGCAGCGCTGTAAGTCATAGCATTGCTAATCCAGTGTTTGTCTTTTTACGAATAAAAAAATCATTATACAGCATCTGCAATCGGTACGGCCGCCTGACTCCTGCCAAACCTGAAATGAACTAAAAGTAACATTGTACTGCGGAACATATCTTCTAATCAATGTTAGCTACCTTTGCCAGTCAGCCCGGCTGATTGGACAGGAATTGGCTGTGGAGAAGGAATGTTCACGAAGGAACTGAATCAAAGAGTCAACTCTTATTACATGCATATTTATAAATAGTATTTTTTTGGTTTTAACAGAACCAATAATCAAACTAATCTACACTGGTAAAGGTGGCGTAGAGGTACGGTGGTGTTCAAATACAGGAAATGTTTTTTTGAGTTATAATCTTTTTCTTTTTCCAAGTATGTGTCCCAATTTCAAAAGATAATTGGGAGCCAGTGGTGCTAAATGAAAAACAAAGGGGATCACTAAAGTTACATCCTGAGAGGGGCATGAATGTCAACCCATTTAATAGTTGTTGAGGCATTTCATCCACAAATGTGAACCTAATGGTCCTGCTGAGGAAAAAATCAGGGGATCAATTAAGTCCGTAGGATTCATGGAATAGGTTTAATAAATGTCTGTAAAAACTTTAATCCCAATCAATCCAACAGTTATAGAAATGTTTCACTCTGGAATTGGTGGACTTGCAGACAATCATACATTGCCATCCATAGATACACAGTAAGCCACTGTATGATCAACAACCCATACGCTGCCTTCACACATCATCAGCATCATGACAAAGTCTCAAAAATCACAAATCACGAAGCCAGAGAAGGAACCCGTTGTAGGCGTAAATTGATGCAAACATCCCCTGAAGCTCAAATCCAACAGTTTGAATCCAGGGCCTAAAATGGGGGAAAACGTTGGCGGATTGGATATTCTTAGGGGAGGAGAGGAGAACAGACGGATGTGGGAGAACAGGGGCAAACAATTACAAAAAGTAGCAACACCAACAATGATATCTCTCTGCGATGTCATCATGCATTTCCACATGGTGATGAGCTCTTTAATCTGTGACGGCTCAAGGACTGTGTTGGAGGGGTAAATAGGATCGGGGTTGGGGGTGTGGGTGTGGGGGGAGGATAAATATGGGGCAGTAGAAGATGTGTGTGTTGCGAAGGGTGGAGTATGACTCATCCGAATGAAAAAGTGTACAGAATAAAAAGAAAAACCGCAGTTTCAGCACCAGACAGCCGGACAGTTCCAGCAACAGCCTCTGTTAAAGAGAGCAGAAATGAAAGTCCACATCAGCCCCAGAGCTCGGGGACTTAGTTCTGCTCATGGTTTTGAAGTTCACAACTGTACATGTCGGAGCCTATGATACGTACATTCATAAACTCATACATTTGTAAATAAATACCCTATAAATATGGTTTCAATATTTATAAATACATAGACTAAATATACAATGAATATTTATAATTATGCAGAGCCATTTGAAGTCTTTTTATAAATAGCATGATTTGGATCTGATGACTGTCTTGATAAAAGGACCAATCAGAGCCCACAATGAACTGTAGGCCCAGAGCCCTTAACATGAATATTTATAGGTTGTAAGTCGACCAAGAGACTCATTACGAAACAGTGTGCAGATTTCGCTAACAGTATGCTTCCCCACCTTGCAGTTTACCTAGGATATTTGCCTCTTGCCATCTTGGGCTCCGTCAAGATCAGGCTCACCACTAACAATCCTTCCTGTCTGCCGGTAGATGAATCATAACCTCATGCTGAACAATATTGTCTAACCGCCAGAGGAACATCTTTCCTGAACCACCGACCAGATACTTTTCTTTAACCCCTTTTACTTAAATGTAATTCAATTCAGAATTTCTTAAATGGCATAATAAAAAGACAATAAGTGTTACATCATACAAAAGAAAATGACATCTGTAACAGGCTGACAAGACTGAGTGGAAACAAGACAACAGCAGCCCATCCTCCAGCCCTGGGGGTACATCTTCTGGAATTTGGTTCGCCTTCTGTCTCCACCAACCCTGCCTCTCTTTCTCTTTCACTTTCACCTCTTTATAATCCCCTCAGAAAACCCTTATTCCTTGCTGTCCTTTCTTTTCCCATGGTGTCTGCTTCTGCACGCCTCGACTTCATTCCTCTACTCAGCGGCTGTCTCTTTGATCGTCATTCCTATACCTCCTCTTTGCCTCTCCTTCCTCGCTCAGTCTTTGGTGAATTATTCATCAGTCTGTGTATGTCATTAATCATCACTTGTTCAAAAGATATGAATGGGGGGGCTGCGAAGGTGGGGGATGGGGGAGGGGACATCGATCTGTCGTGGTGGTGAACAAGACGGGTTGGGAAGTGAGGAGCAAGGCATTGAGAGAAGGGGTAAAAAAGGGGACAAATAAAAGCCGGGCAAGAGAGAATGTGAGGATGGATATAAGGAGACGGGTAAAGGGAGGATGCGGAGGAGAGGAAAAGAGGGCAAAGGAAGGTAGGAGGAGGTAGGAACATATAAAAAGGATAGTAATGATTAAGGGGAATGGGGTGAAAAATGATGGAAACCACAGAATGGCCGGCAGGGCAAGTAGAGGCTGGGAGAGGGGGTGAAAACAGATTGTTGCACATGTTGAAACGGACATATAAGCTGACTGGGTTTATTACTGTACCTCCGAGGAGGGTGAAGGGAAGGGAGGAGGGCTGATAAAGTCGACTACCACGTGAAGGGGATGAAACCAAAGAGACAATGGTAGAGAGAAGAGAGAGAGTCCATGAAAAGAGCGATAGAGGAAAACAACCTGACAAAGATTTAGAGCAAAACCTAAAAAGGGGAGGGGTTTGAGGATAAGAAAGGTTAATGTATTGATCTGGAGGGGGGGGGGGACAAAGAGAGGAGGCAGAGGAGTGGGTTGTGTGTGGTTTGCAGATCAGGGTGCGCTGATAAGACAGGGCTGTGATCAAACGTGCGAGGGGACTGTCGGGGGCTCCTCCATTTGTCTCTCTTTAGGGCAGTCGCTGTACCTTCACAAGCCCTGATCTTGCCAAAGATCCATCGCTTATCCACAAAGCATAAAAAGAGAGTGAGCGGGCGGGTAGGTGGGTGGTTAAGAGGCCTCTGAAGTGCACTGTGAAGAGGGACTGAGATTCCCTGTCAATCAGTGAGTGATGCAAGCCCACTGGGAGTCGTACATTGCTCCACATCAAACACATTTCTGCTGCTTACACAAGCCATTCGCTGACAGCTTTCGGCGCCGCTGTCCTCGGAGGGTTCGGAGACTTCCGTCAGCAAACACCGAAAAATCACAGCTGGTAGGCGAGGGGGCCAACGCCTTAAACCATGCTGTGACATTTCTTCACAGAGCCATCCAAATCTCCAGAGGCAACATGCAGCCAATCCAGGCTAATCTACACTGAGCCACAGATATCCATGCTAATCTGCATAACAGCATATTGCACTTCCAAATGCTTCAATTAGAACCCTCACACAATACTCTACACACAATACTCTTCACACAGTTCGGTCAAATTGAAACAAAAAAGAAGAAGAAGAGATAAATATATATGTATTGTAATCCAGTTTTAAGATAACAATCACAGAATTCTACCGAGACTCTTTTGGGGCTCTTAAAAGAAATGCGATGGACTTGTACTGAAGCCATTTCAATCTAGCAGATAAATAATTCATGGGTTGTTGTTTTGAGTGTGCACTACCTCGAACAATCCCTAAACATGAACACTTGTCTTAACATTTGCCTTATCGTACCTTAAAGTTTAACATATGTCATGCTGTACTTCAACTATTCAGACAATACTACAATGTTTCTGCTTAAGACTGTCAAAGACGATATTTGCATACACTATGTAAATAGTACAATTTTTAGGACAGAACAGGCAATGCCATTATTTAAAGTATCAAGAAATTTTATTTTTATCAAGATGTAAAAGCCACTTTCAGACTACAATGGGATACTAATAATCTTCAGTCAAGCTCATATTAGGAGAGTTCATTTTGAGTTGGTGATAAGTTCCTCAAAGCAATCCACAAAATATTTTCAGAATCAAAGACTCGCCCCCTGTAGGTTTGGAAGTTCCCCTAACTTTCCATCTAGCAACATCAGCAGGTCAAAATCTAAATGTTTACAATGATAAGGCTTATTATAAAATATATGCAGAGCTCTTGATAACCCCATCAGCCCCAGCTGTAGTTTGAATTAACTGCTAGTAAGGAAATTTTAGCATTGAAGCATTTTCATTGTGAGCATGTTAGCATGACGTTAGCATCTAGCTCAAAGCTTTGCCTCAGAGTAAATCCTCTAAATATCTGGCAGGGGAGACACGTATTATTGTTACAAACTGTTGAATCCTCTGAGAGCAAACTTTGTAAAAAGATTGTAGGAGAGTCTCCAGGTGTGTGAGTTGAGTTACCTGTGTCCTGTCTGTTGCTACCTCTCAGCAGGTAACTGAACTCCTGGCAGCGTTCACTTTGGCTGTAGCCTCTTGGGGAGTTGAAGCACAGTTCTTCCACCAACACCAGCGCCTTCTTACACAGGTCTTCATCCCAGTCCCCCGACATCCTCCAATCCGCATTGCACTCTCACCAGCAGTCAGCCAATGACAGCGCAGCCCTCGCCGCCCTCACCTATCGGTCGGCGCTATGGTAAATTGAATGTTGGCCTGTCCACCTTCTGCAAAATATGTCAACTGAGTGAGGAGGCAGAGGAAGCTGCCGGCAATAAAGAAAGGAACAAGGGGTTCTGCCAGTGGCCTTGGTCTGGGTCACAGAGTGCCCATGTATGACTCAGCGTCACCCACCCCTCTCTCTTTCCCTGGAAGAGAAAAAAGGGAGAAAATTGGCAATGTGAGTGTAAGTACATAGTGTACAAATCAAGCTTTTAGCAGATTAGTCACCTTTCCTATTAATCAAGAACTCTGATGCCAGAACCATCAGTGTGCTTCTGATGGATCATTGGTTCTGTTGCTACAAAATATCACACTAGCATACACTATGAAGAGTGAAAATAGATAACTGGCATCATGAAAGAACTGTTTTCTCAGGTGCCGCTAAATCCTAAAGGGGAGCAAATGTGTTGATATCGTTAAAATCACATTAGGGTCAGGTTCCGTATTTGACCAAACACACATTTAATTAAGCATTTACCATTTATATGGTTAAGCCAAAATGCCCCTACCATCAAGTCTCATTGTTGATAAAAAAAAAACACAAATAAAAAACAGTAAACAAGGCAGTCTGAGGGTATCCTCACCAGGGTGCCATTTATAAAAGGGCACATTGCTTTTGAATTGTTTTGAGGGAAACACATTTTTTCATTTCTATCCTCCACTGGAAAGGGATGGCAGCGAAAGACTCCCGGGCTAAACAAATCACCATATGGTCTATGTATGGCCAGAAGTACTAGTTAGTTAATGAGCCTTAACTTACCCTTGAGGTGTGAACAAAGTATTTTGAAATTAATAAAAAAGACTCTGAAAGCTATGTGGAATTGCAGTTGTTGCCGATGTTGGTGTTGGTTCTTAGTGGGTTCGGCACTGCAAGCAACCTTTTTTTATTACATCTAATTTAATTCCATGTTAATATCAGAAGTTTCACCTAATGTATGTTAAAATATACTATCAATAAATTAGCCCATGGAGTTTTGAATTAAATGGTAGCACTTTTCACATTTACCTCGAACTGGAAACTTCCAATAGCTCAAATGTTGTACCTTATAGTGTTCTAAATTCAAACTATTTTATTCTCAAAATGGATTAGTAACTTTAAATAAAGCCAGATGCTTTCATACCTTCTCAACATGATTCATTTTTCATTAGGAGTCTTAATGATCTCCTGGGGATTCTGTGATAATGTTTGTGTCCAAAACTGACCAATGGTCTTCATTGTGACCAGAGTATTTTATATAATGATTAGTTATTTTCTCCATAAAACAGAAATATGCTGAAGGAAATACCAACACTGTGAGAGAGAAGAGAACTAGTTTCCCTTTTATCATTCAACATACTCAATTGATTGCCTTCCTCAGGCTTAGCTTCACAAATAACTAAGTCAAATCTATTGTACTAAAGAAACAATTCAAGTGAAAGCATTTTATCAACTTAAATAATGTCAGAAAACCATGGTTTGTTTACCTTTATTGAACTTGACTGTTGAAGTTCTGGGCCATGTTGAATTTGCAGGACAGAGACACTCTACATCTAAAATTGTCTTTGCAAATAGATTTGGCAGAAGAATAAGGAATTATGCCTGCAGTGCATGCATAACCTTTATCTTGTTATTTTCCTAACGGTTCCAAGACCAGAAAGGGGGCCCTGCGGACAAGTGGCTCTTTTTTCTTAACTTCCCATTAGGAACAGAGTGTAGTTCTTAGTCATCTGGATCCAACTGGGTCAGTGCAACACATCAGTTTTAGTGGTCCTGCCAGCACTTCAGCATTGATCTGCACCCACTGTCGGATTTGCGGAGAGTCTTTTGAAGCTCTCCAACATAACCTGAAAAACAATGAAAATCAATCTGTCAAATAAGTGAAGAGGCACAACAAGAATAAGAACAAAAAACACTAACATTAGGAGGATTTTTTAAATCTCCTTAAATATAAGATGGAGGTAAAATCAGATTCATTAAGTTTGACTGCCCTGTAGTTGTGCTCCTTGTGCTCCGTTCATCTAAGAAAAACAAGAGTTTGTTAGCATATTGTCTAATAAATGTCTTAATAAAAGCAGGTCAATGCCTAAACTCCAGTTTCTCACAGTTTGTGAGTCTCAAGGGACTCTGACTGTGGAGAACGAATGCAAAGTTGTGTCTAATAATACATAGCCGTTGCAGGAACCCTGATATTGAAAATGTCCTGCAAAAAATGTTGTACAAGCTGGAGTTTGGTTGGAAAATAAATCACTTGCAAAACAATGTTCATGGTGTGCTCACTTTTTCACCAATCTGTTTTGTCCTTGTAAAGCAGTTGCCCTATTTCTCAAGCAAGGTGCTTAGTCGGACAGGGCAAGGACTATTGATCAGTTGATATATGTTGTTCTGTGAAATGTCAGTGTCAGTCTTTGTACATTGAGTGGCACCTCCCTAGCAAAGCGCTCCTTATATGTCCATCTGTCCCAGACCCATCAATCAATCACTGCATTAGGCAAAGACATACTTCACTCTGAACAAGTCCCTATCCAAAGAATGCTTCCAATCTCTCTGGAGTTTTTCTCGCTCCTCTTGAAAACAGAAACACCCTCTGTTCCTGTCTCTTCTGAGAAGCGGATTGTCACATTAGGGTAAACTGTCAGTTGAGAAGAGACTCAGATAATGCAGTCTATTTATCTGTCCACCGCAGCTCAGCCTATAGCAGTTGGAGAAGAAATGAGCAAATCAAAACGTAATCCAGACCTTACATCCTACATCAGCCCTCCTCGTGCCCCCCCCCCAACCACTTTCCCCATTAAAATTGTAAATCTGTCTGAGTGACTTTAAAACCCAGGATATCTCAATCTGAAGAATGGCTGTCTGGCACAAAACTGGCCGCTTCAAATGCCAATGACAGATTCAGGGGGAGGGAGAGGCAAAGATGTAATAGAGGAGACGGACAGACAGAAATAATGATTGTGTAGCAAGACAGAGGAAGAGGTAGACGGAGAACGAGGGATATACGTCATTAAATTGGAGGCGAGACAGATGAAGAGGGTCGGAAAATAACTGGGGCAGAGAAAGTCCGGGGGAAAAAAGCAGGAAGCTGGCGGCAAGGGGTGACACAGCAACAATGGTAATCAACGGGTAAGGGGGTGCAATTTACAACAAGCTAAATATTTACAAAGGCTCACAGATAAACATCAATTCAGAAACATGTTGACCAACAATTCGACTCAGATAGCACCATGCCCAGAGATGCACATCATTTCTTATTTAGTGTACAGACCAATACTAAACCTCCCACAGACACTACATTGACTGCTGTTGTGATGGGGATCAATACTATCAAGGAACAAATACACCACAACGTAGACCAGATGACCAGTGAGGTCACCGTCAAAATGGGAAGAGGAGGCAGGACGGCATGAAGGTCACAGTCTAATCACACTACGGAGAAAGCAGAATGGGAACTTGGGGAGGTAATTGCCCAATCATGGGAGAGGGTTGCCAGTCAGATCAAGAGCTACATCTTGGAAAAAGGGCAAACTAGAACCGAAAGAAAGACCAGTCAGCCATAAAGCCTCAATAGATATAGACCAAAATTAATATATGACTCAGTAAGAAGCTGCAAGTTCAAACCTATAGCATGTGTCCTTCAGTAAGACTCTGAGCCCCTTGATGGCCCATCCTGTTAATCACTAAGGATAAGAGCATCAGCTAAATGTCTTCTTTTTTTTAATGGCTAAGTCCAGCCGTTACATCCTCGATAGCTTAAAGGCAACGAAGCAGATGAGGTATTTATATTTGTATCCCCTTATAATGAAGGGATCATGCATGTATTTGCACTGGCAGGAGTGAAGTCGCCATCAGGTGACCAGAGAGCTGAGTAAAAAGAAGTGAGGATTATCATCCAAGATGTAAATAAAAAAAGCACACATTCATTATTTCTGGGACATACACCAATACATATTTATTTAATATCGAATGCACTCACTCATTTTTTATATATATTGGATTTCTATTTTTTGGCTCCGTGCTAGTCAAACAAGAATTTCAGGGGTTTTCTCCTTTGCTCAGAAATTCCACCGAAAAAGCTACAAACAAACACAAATCCTCAAGCAGGGCAAATGTGAATATGATAAAACCCATAGGGCGGGTTTCCAGTAACAAGGATCATGTTAGAGAGTACGACTGAAATCTGAAATCTGCGTGTGCAATCTGTCTCTGAGGGATGAATCCCACACCTCAGCAGGGTTTGGGAATTACAGTGATAAGGCATTTGAAATGCTGCTGTCTGCTGAATAAGAAGTAGCAGACATTTTGAAGCTTACCACAAACCTATGATCTATTGCAACCCCATATCCTCGTTTGAAATTCATTTTCCAGTGAAATTATATGTTAGTCTTTGAATTGAATACAATACATTAAATATGAGTCTGCTACCATTTTAGCTTCTCCAGTTCAGAGGCAACTAACCAATATTATTTGTTGTGGCAGCGGTAGTATTACCTTGAGGTCGTTCTGAATATAATTATAGAGTTCAGATAGCAATCAGGCAGTTTAAAGACACTACCCTTATTCACTTAATAAAAGTCTCTTTTCAGTCTCACCTTTTCTCTCTAACTGAAATTACCCTTTAATGCTGAAATGTACAAATGTTATGGGAAAAACTGAATACCTTCCTAATTGGAAAATGTAACTGAGAACAGTCAGACTCTTTTTTGTTTGAGAACATAATGCTTCTGTAGACAATGGAGACTAATCCATTGGATATACTATAATAGGATATTTCTTTGGATCCCAGTGAACCTGCTTTCAAGCCCTTCAATCTGCTGCTGCGCTCTTTCTTTTGTTTTCAACCGTATACCTGGAAGTCATGTTTTATTGGAATGCTCATTCTTGCAAATTTTTCTGTTTATGTTAAAGTCTGTAACATTGCTTAAGTGTTTAAGCTAATTTCACACTTCCAATGTCTGTGCTTGGCCGCATTTTTTGCATTAACAATATATTTCCTTTAATAATTTGTCATTTACATTCTGTTTTACTTTACAGACATGGCCTGTGACCCTCACCGTTCCAGACTTTGATGCTGTCTGCTCTGCTGCAGCCTGCTGGGCCGTATCATGTTGTGTACCATCTCAAATCGATGTAGTCATGTACCCTTAGATCATCCGCCATTCGTCAGGACTATCACTGATTCATAGAGGTCATGACCTCTCTCCACCGACACTGGCATATCCTCTTTTTTGTTTTGCATCACTTCCTTTCGAGGCCAAAGCGATGACTGCTCGAGACAATGCTTTCAACGCTCCTCTCTGCTCATTCGGCCGTGAAAGATTGATGCACAGGGGTAAACAGATAGGGATACTACAACACATCTTTTTGGTTACTCCAGTGGAGCGCTACTGTTTTGCGTCGGGACAGAGACAGCGGCGTATAAGGCAAAGATTGAGCGTGGGGATATTAATGTCTATTGACTAGAGGTAATAGCTTTGCCAAATCTCTGCCTCGAGGTTGTTCCTATAATAGCTCCCACCCTTTCAGTAGTTCCTGAACACTCTTTCAGCAAACAAATAACATTAGGTGGGGGAAAGTGTCATGAATGTGTGCTTAAGACCATACATCTCTATACACATGCAATGAAACACGCATTCACAACCAAGCATACACATTTTCCTTTTTATCTATTTCCATACCATATTTACACATATCAAAGGGGTTGCTGTTCAGGCTCTCCAAGCTTTTCCACAACTTGGGGCTGCAAGTGTTTTTATAGTCTATAACATGAGAGAGGAAATAGAGAGCAAGTGGCCGGCCAGGAGCCTTCGGAAACTGGTGCTACCTTTCCTGTCTCTTGCTCAGCCAGTGTAGCTGCAGAGCAGGACCTATTTACAGACAGGGAGTGTAATCACACACACACTCATACACACTCACACCCACACACTGACACACACTGACACACACAGAACAGAAGGCTGCCCTTACTTAATTATTTATCCTAATGCTATGTCAGGGTCTGTGTCTCCCAGGTTAAGGTTTATTTTAATAATTTTTGCATAAAGATGTTTCTCTGTGGTGTGAAGCCAGAGCAACTGTGTCTTTGATGGCTTGGGGAATGGGGTGTGGGTGGAGTGGAGGGGGAATTACGCACGTCTTACGCACGTCAACCTGTCTTCTGTGTGTTTTCTGCGTGATCGTGCGCGCATCCCACTGTCTGTTCATCTTATATGTTAAAGCGTTTGCGCGGAAGAAAGTTAAATCATCAGCAGCAGTGAGGATAGCTGCCATTGATACAGTTTTGATATGAGCCTGTTATCTGAAGGCTATTCCAGCAGCCTGTATGGACTGCCTCCACACAACATGCATCCCACTATATGCTCGAAACACACACCTAGCCTACCAATGGAAGAATGCAATATGAAAGAGCCTGGGTGATGCACAAATAATATACATTAAATATTTATGGGAAACAGACACATGCTGCTAGATTTAGGGCATATTCAGAGCCCAGTGCGGGATGCAGGATCAAAGGAGATGTGATGCAAATTACGCACACATCGCAATATCTCAGACCCGAATGCAAGCTGGTAACAGAATCAACAAAGGGAACATGTCCTACCTTGGCGTTGCAGAAACCACTGTATCCCTCTGTCCAATTTACTAGCTTCTCCGCTGTTTCAGTCAGATGCGACGCTTGTAAAGGGGCATTCCGCCCTCTTTTGCTCTGTCCACCCCCTCCTCTCGCTCACTCCCTCTCTTCTCTCGAAGACGCACCGAGCAATAAGCCCCGCAACCGGGATGGCAGACTGAGAGAAGGAAATGAACAGTATGTTATATCTTCCCTCCCCGCGCTTAACTCCCGTTTTCTGTGTTCTACCCTTATATTTTACCCCCTCCTTGTGTTTTTTCCTCCTCTCTGTTTCACTATCCCCTCCCTCTCACTCTCTCACTCGGTTCCTCGCTCCCTCGCCTTTTTTCCCTCCCTGTGCTCTGAATACTAATACTCTGTCTCTCCTCTCACTGCCTGTACAGCCCGGTCAGTGCTAAAGACATACTGATGTATGTGGGGCGTGTAGAGAGAAAGCCAGAAAGGCAGAGATGGTGTTAGTGGAGGTGGGGGTAGGGGTGGGGGGAGTCCTGGGATGGTGTGGAGGGTAATGGCTACTGGGTAAAAAAAAAAGCCTAGGATCTTGTTTGGTCTTATTATAGCTGTGATTAGATAATACCCCTGCAGATGCCCCTGGAGAGG